CCGCCAAAATAATAGAAACCATAAAAAAACATATCACAAATAAATTTCATATTTTTTGGAATTTTTTATTTTTTGAATTTTTTAAATATCCTCCGGGAAACTGGAGCTCGTCAACGTGGCAAGCCCAAGTACTCGGGACTTGGACCGAATAGTCAAATGCTGATCCGAATCACTCTTAGCCATTGAATATGAATCCAACTTATAGAAGTATGTCCCGACATTTAAGAAATTTTCGTTCGAATTTTGTGCCCTATAAGTAATTCCCAACCACCAAATTTTGCATCCGAGGGGCCAACAATGATTGTGACCTTCTTGTGTTCAAAGTAAACCGTCTTGTTGGATGTATTTCCATTTCCGATAGCATTTTAGGCTACCCTGACTCTCTATGAGCTAAATCTAATGCAGTATGGTGTGTAACAAGCATGGTATAGTAGGTTTGTCCCAATTCATCCATCGTCCACATCAGACGGAGTGATGCAGATTGAATAGCTTTTGGTTTCGAGACCATAGCCCGGTTTACCTAAAGGCCAAAAAGCCCTCGGTCGTTGCCTCATTCTCCTTTTAGAAAAGAAAAGCTTTCAACGTAACGGCACCCACATACATATCATATGGGACCCTGATCTCAGCTATCAGACTTGAGTAGAAAGCTGAGATGGCTTAAGCCACAATGTCCCAAGTTGGCACTTAATTATTATATTTTAATCGGACAATTCATAATTGTTTACTTTTTATTTTTTATTCTACAAATCATTTTGAAACAATATTTGGGGCATGTATAGATCTGACATGGGCGCACATGATAAAAATAAATAAAAAAATTTCTAGTGGCAAAAATTTACCAGAATACCTCTAAAATTTGTAAGGGCATTTTAGTCATCTATTTGTACTTTTTATCCAGGTTCACCCTAATTTTATTATGGGATGCCTAAAATTTCATCAAAAAATGTTTTGTAGAGAAAAAATGAAAAACAAAATTATAGTGTTTGACGTGACATTGTGGCATGAACAATCATAGCCGTCAATTTTGAATCGACCGACTAAAAAATTGGTAACATGCAACTTATATTTGGTTGGGGTCACATAGAAACATTTCCCTTTTAGAAAAAGGAGCAATTAAAAGACATGCTTGCATCTTTTGTATTGCTTTTCGTCATTTCTTGGAAGCTAAAACATAATATTGCAAATTCAAGGAATATCAATCGGGTGTGGTATGCAATCTTAAACAATCCAATAAAGGTGCAACTCCAAAGTTTAACATAACATGTAATTTTGGTGTTAAAAATTCTTAAGATTATCTCAAAATCTATTTTCATATCTAATCATAAATTTTGAAACTCAAAAAATGGTTAAAATCAAGTAGAGCTCTAAACATATGAAAATCTTAAAATGAACGGTTTAGATATTGTGTTGCAAGATGCATTATTTCTGAGACTCAAAATCTTTTTTTTTTTTTGCCATATTCATACATTTCAATGTCGAGATGATCAATTAGAGGCTTTTCAACAATAAAATAACTTTTTTTTATGGATTTTGATGTGCATATGTAGTTCTAGATTTTAAGGTTGCAACCTTATTTAAACATTTTCCATATCATAAATTTGTTCTCCTTGCTAATTTCAAATAATAAAAATGACGGTAATTAAGAGTAAAATAATAATATTCAAAGGGGTCTTTCTTAAAAGGAAAAAGTTTATAAAGGGTTGAGGCTCTAAACAATCAAATTAGAGCCTACCTCAAAATTTCAATAATAGGTTGTTTTGATGCCAAAATATCTTCAAATTGAGCATCTCAACATCAAGATGTCATGAGAAAAAAAATAGATTTCAAGTTTTGGAAATAGTATATTTTATAATGCATTTTTAGACCGTCAATTTTCAAGATTTTCAACTTTTCATAGATCGCTCGATTTACACTATTTTTTAAGCTTTAAAATTTATAAATAAAAATAAAAATATATTTTAAGGCTACCACAAAGATTTTTAGTACTAAAACCACATTTCTTGACACTATTTTAAGGTAGGCACTAATTTGATTGTTTAAAGATTGGCTCTATACAAAACTGCACCCTTCTTAAAAAGCACTAGCGCATTTGCCACTTGCAAACTAGGGTGAATAAGTCCTTTATATTATTAAAGATCCCGATTCCTTGTTTGGTTTAGGATCACTCTCCTGTTCCTCTTAAGGGGGACACTAAGAGGAGAATAAAGTAATGGAAAGTTTTTTTTTAGACCACTGGGTGTAGAGAATTTATATACGCCACCTCTGATGGTTGAGATGACTCTAATCACAATGTCACGTATAAATACTATTTTATTTTTAAATTTTTCTAGAGATGTTATTCACACTAAATTTGGGGTGTCCACTACCGTCTTTGGCTTGCACATATGAAAAATATAAAAGGAAATATTTCTTATAAAATAAAAGATTAAAATATCTCTAAAAATTTTGGGGTAGTTTGCCATTTACTTTTTACAAATAATTTTTATATTTTTTTAGGTGCGATCCTGTGGAGATGACGACTCGCACTAAATTTTATGTTCATGTAATTTGTAGAAAATAAAAAAAATGAAATAATATGAGAGGTCATATCTAAATCATACACGTAGTAGCTCACTTGTGACATAATTGCTGAAGCAATCACAACCATTCATTTAGATTACACAGATGGGAGAGAGTCGCACATAGAAATTCGCTGCACCAAGCGGTGTATTGAAAGGTTCCCCATAAATTGAAGGCTAGAGACGAACGAAGAGGGGCTAATTCTTAATAATAACAAATATGTCCTTAAATTGGAAAGGTGGGGCTATCTAAGTAGTCAGGGACCCTACTTGATTAAGGCCCTAGTGGACTTGGACCCAGACTCTAGCCAGGTTTAAGTACGTTGTACCTGACTCGACCCAATGGGTCCTAGTGGCTCCTCAGACTCAAGCCACACCCAAGGTGACCCAACAACTAGGTCTTTTATATAGAAATAAGGGCCAGATGAAGCTCTACCAAACCCATACTAGACCCAACTAGTCTAGGTCTTTCCCCCACACAAGCTCAGTAAAGTCCAGATTTTTTAAACTTAAAGTAGACCTAGTATGTTTTGGGGCCTGATCTGATCACAAATAGGGTAAATCCAACGAGACCATGGACCAGTCTAACTTTATAGAAATTGTATCTAATATAAATATAAATGCTAAATAGGGTGTTGTTTGATGTTTTCAATACTATACTAACCCAAAAATGTGTTGGTTCCATATTTGAGTTACAGATTACCTCAAAAATATCAAGAAAATAAAATAAAATAAGTTACGGTTTGGTATAATATAAGTATAGCTGCTAAATGTTTCCAATACCATACTAACCCAAAAATGTGTTGGTTCGAAATTTGAGTTGTAAGTAAAATAAGTTATAAATATAAGGTTCAAATCATAAATTAAATACCAAAATAATTGACAACTCTCTCTCATACCTGGTATCCTTGCGTAAAATTGATCGCCAACATTATGCTGGTGACCGCAAATAGTGGATATAGCTTGGTGAAAGCCAATTGAGATGGCGTTTGATAACGTAGAAAGTAGCTGCCTTTTCCCATTCTTGTACTTTTGACCTGTTTGGAAACAATTAAAATGGGGAAAGTCAGGACCCAACTCCCCATTCACCGTTCCCGCGAAGCAAAGCTGCTGCAAATGGGCACCCATGCAAATCTATAGAAACCCTAGCGTCACTAATGTTATGCCAAACCCTAGCTTCCTTGGGCAACAGGGTACAAGTCCAAATGTTACAGATCCTTGGGCTTTTTGCAGAGCCCACAACTTGGATATATCCGTAATTGTTCTTTAGACCCATGAATTCATTATCAATGGCTGGGAAATCCACATAAATCTCTGGTTCGGTAGGATACCCCTCTTTTATTGAAGCATTATTCATGTTCAATCTCCATTCATAAATACGGGCGACTAATACCCAACAATAGCAGGCCATATCCTTCTCTTGTGATTGGAAAAAAGCTCAGTGATACTATTCGAGTTAGTTGACACCACGATGAGACTGACCCCATGAAAACATAGCGTGGTGATTGCTCCCTGAGAGAGCGAGAGAGGGGGTTGGATCTCTTTGAAAGACCAACAGTCTCTGTTAGAGATGAGAGTGGGAGATTAATGGGGAGAGACGCAATTTTTTTATGGAAAATATAATCCCTTAAAATTCATCTGGGAGTTGAATAATTGGATTCAGATATTTATGGGTTATTTAGATATCAGAAGATACAATTTGATCCCGTCAAACAGACTTATATAATTTAAATTAGAGAAAGTTTCTATATCCCCTCCATCCAACCGTCCAATTTAGGTCAAGTGAGCTACTTACCATTTAATCTAGATCCGATGTCTCAAGTTATTTTATTTTTAATTTTTTTTTATACTAATTACATGAATATGAAATTTAGTATGTACCATTATCTCATTGGGGCACACCGAAATAAATTATTAAAATATAATTTTGATAAAATAGAAAAACCAAAATGCCCGAAAAACTCTCAAAGGGCATTTTAGTTATTTTATTTGAATATACCCTTTTATATTTTTTCCAAGTACGAGTTTAAGGTAGGAGTGGACGTCCAAAGTATAGTGTCAATGTTTTGTAAAAAAGCTTAAAAATAAATAGTGTAAAAGCATGACATTGGGATTGAAGCCATCTAAACCATTCATTCAAAATCGACAGCTAGATAGAGTGAGAAGTACATAAATTTTATGTTTTAGGGAAAGCACAAAAGGCTTGCCTTTTAAATTATAGAAGATTTTATATTATCTACAAATATTAAAACATCGGGGTGCTACAAAACATACGGTTGAGAGAGAGTAACAAAAGGTAGGGTTAAACATGTAATCAGGGACCCCACTTGATGCCCCGGTGCACCCGGACCGAGACTATAGTTGGGTTTAAGTTCAATGTACCCGACTCGACCCAATGGGTCCTAATGGCGGTTCAAACACAAGCCACACCCAAGGTGACCTAATTAGGCCTTTCATAAAGAAACAAGGTTCAAAAGAGGCTTGACCAAACCTAGACTAGACACAACTAGTCTAGGTCTTTCCCCTACACAAACCCTGGTCCAGATTTTTCAAACCTGAACCAGACCTAGTATGTCTAGGGTACTGATCTGATCACAAATAGGGTCAATCCGACAGCGGTATCTATGTACTTTAGGTGAGCCCTTCTATGTGTAAATGAGAGCAGGGACGGGTCGAACATTAGAGATATTGGATCCGCTCAATTTTATTCTTCAGACAATCTCTTATCATTTTCTCTCGAAGTTAATACGCCGCTCTGTCTCCCTCGCAGCTATGAGATCGCGTTTGATAACGCGTAAATTGTGGAGAGTAGTTGCCTTGTACTTTTTATCTGTTTGGAAACAATGAAAATGGGGAAAATCAGAAGTTCGGAACACGACTTCTCCCCATTCAGTGTTCCCGCGAAGGAAAACGCGCGGCAAGTTTAACACGAAGTCACGCCACTCTATGAACCCAAAAACAAAGCCTTGCAGTCACTTGAAGGGAAAAAAAAAAAACATAGCTTCAGCCGCTGTGTTCTCTGCATTGACGCTCGCTCAACATCCTGAGACTTGCCCTAAAGCTTCTGCAGCAGTTGGAGGCTAACAAAAACCAGTGAGTACCTTGAGGTTTTTCACTGTTTGATGAGGCTTTTTTCTCCTTGTGGTAAGGTATTTTGATAAACGGAAAATCTAAAGAAACCCTAGCGTCACTCATATTATGCGAAACCCTAGCTTCCTTTGCTGTTTGGCCCCATTAAAAAAGAGTTTTCTGTATTTGTGCGATTATCTATCTGTTATGTTATGTTCATCTACATTTTCTCTGATCATTTGGCTTCTGAAAATCTCTTGCTAGTTTGGTCCATTTCAACATTGGATTTTATCTGTATTTTTTTTCGATTATTGGACTTTTTTCCAGCTGTGTAGTTCTTCTCTCTGTTTTGCTTCATTTGACACAACCTTCTAATCCTCTCTGTTTTCTACAAGTATCCATTTGTATTTAGTTTTTGCTTTTACTAGTATTCATTTGACGCAGCCTTCTACTCCTTTCTGTTTTGCTTCATTTACCGTCGTATGCAACTTTTACAATTGGTTTTTGTTTTTGCAGCAATCAAATGGGTTTTGAAGCTACATACTCGAGGCAATATCGCAATAATAGAACCTGAAAAATGCAATGAATATTTAGCAATTTGCTATAAAACATAGTGTTTGTCTGTGTGTATTCAGCATTGGTTTTCTTTCCTATCAAGCAGATGATGATGCATATTGTTAATCCTGATCATTCCTGAGGTTTCAAAATTCTAGCTTTTTAAAACTGATGCTGGTTTGTGATTGTTTCATACATTGTCAAAAAAAAAAAAGCACCAAATCTACAAAGGTTTTTTTTTCCTTTTTTGGGTTAATTTTCTTTATTTTTTCTGGGATACTCTCAAACTGTCCTGTTAATTGATTTATTCGGATTACTGTTCTTTTTGTTTTCCTGTTTAATCTCATAATAGGGTACTTTGTTAATCGATTTGATGGTTTTTGCTCTGTTTTTGTTTTTCTTTTTTTGTTGATTTTTTTATAACTATCGTATTATCACCATTGATGGGTTATATTTGTGCCTTAAAAACAACCACTCTTTGCTAAACCCCAAACTTACAAAGTTTTTTTTTTATTTGGTGTAAGTGGCTGAAATCTGAGGCTATGTTCATCCATTGAGCATATGTTGTACTAATATTTAATAAGAAATGCATTATATAAGTTGTAGCAATAATATCTAATTCAAAATATGCATTTCGCTTATCAGATCAATTAAATATATAATGAATGGTCAAAATAGGCAATTTCCAGCTTTCCCAATGCCAAACAGGTGAAAATACCAGCACCACAATTTATCAAACAAGGTTCCCAGCTTTCAGGCTACCAATTTTCACCTTCCTTCCAGAATCCAGGAAAGTCAGCAGCATGGATTGTCCCAGGGAAACTGCAGAAAATGTTATCAAAGTCAACAAATTGTTATTGGAAAGGCCATGAAGAAATACACCAAAAAAACAGAATTAGACAAAGTCGGGCTGTGAGTATTGAAAGAGGATGAAGAAATACAAATTGTTATTAGAAAATTGGGGTTTTTATGCAGTTAATTCCTATTTCTCATGCAGCTGGTCCTCCCTCCTCTCTCTCTCTATCTATCTATTCATATAAGGGTGGGTTAAAAATGTTAGAAATTAATTGCATATCGATAAGGCTGCAGCTCTATCAAACCTATTTTCCTTTTTAAAATTGGGAGAAAAGTGGTTTGAAAGAGGGAGTAAATCATAGCACTCTCTACAACCTGCATCCGAACCTAATGCTTCATTCCCCAGCCTCGGACTCGTAATCATAGTGGTGAATATCTCTCCCCAGTTTGGATTCTACGGAGAACGAGTCAATTTCTAGCGAGTCACACCATACGTCTTCCGATTCCTTACAATGTCGGTATAAGGCGGGACAGCAACTACTTATCTGCAATCTTTCTGTTCTCTCTTTCCTCCATTCAGAGGCCTTTTACCTATCAAGCTTAGCTGCACCATATAGATTTCAAGGAGCTTGGATTGGTGGTAAAGTTTTTCTGTGAATTGAGATTCTTTTTTGAAGTTTTATCCGAGTAAATTTGTTTCTATTTGTTCGATAAACCATTATGGAAGCAGGGGTGTGTTCAGTTTATTCTTCAAGAGAAGATGGGTCTCTTGATTTTCAAATAATTTGTTTAAGTTTATTAGTACAGGATTGACTTTGTTTAAAAAATCTTTTATGAAAGAAGGGAATGTTGGGCATGAGAAAATGGGTCTCTGTAGTTTCAAATAATTAGTCTAATATTAATGGGTTTTGGGCCTTTTATCCAATCTCATAGCTATTTTGAGATGAAGCCCTCTTTATGCCCTATCAAATACCAGAGAGACCCACTCAGATGCTGAATTTTCAATTCAGTTGAGAAAGTAAGTGGTTTTACTTATACGCTGTTGGCTTATATGTTTATGACCGAGAAACTTGGTTTTCATTAAGAATTTGAATCTTCTCTAAGAGAGAAGACTGCATGTTCTTTCTAATTCTTTAGAAGGGGATGCTTAGAGAAATTGTGTTACTCCCTCTTTCTCTGTCTCAGGCTCTGGGAAACCCAAATAGTTTTCTTGAAAACCAATTTTATTGTTCCTCCATCAGTTTTTGAGCCCTCCTGTACTTGGATATGCTTTCATAAGAAGTAGCGAGGCAATGGAGTAATAGTCGGCTGATTTTCATGGTCAGTACCTTGACAACAAAAAAAACAGAATTAGAGAGTATCGAAAGACGATGAAGAAATAGTAATTGTTATTAGAAAATTGGATTCTTATGCAGTTAATTCCTGTTTCTCACGCAGCTGGTCCCTCCCTTTTCTCTCTCTCTATCTATCTGCTCATATGAGGGTGGTTTAAAACTGTTAGAATTTAATTGCATATCAAAAGAAAATGAAGAAAAACAAATTGTTATGAGAAATTTTTTGCAGTTAATTCCTGTTTCTCAGGCAGCTGTTCCCCCCTTTCTCTCTATCTATATATCTACTCATGTAAGGGTGGGCTAAAACTGTTAGAATTTAGTTGCACAATGAAAAACCTTTTCATGTAGGCCCAGAAAACCCTATTTTCCCTAAAATTCACTGCTAATAGGGAACTACACTTTCATTTGTCCTAAGTTGCCCTAACCCCTCTGCCATGTTTTGATTTCTATGTAACATCTTATTATATTTTCTTGTTACTTATTTTTAGCTAGTCGGGATAAGGTTATGATGATGATGATGATGAAAACAATGAGCAATGCATGCATCTTCGTCTCTCCCAATCTTTCTTCCGTTGCATTCAGTTATTCCTTTTCTTGTTTTCCTTATGGAAATTGATTAAATTTGATGTAGATGTTGTTCAAGTTCATGAAATATATAGCAGAAACAAGATGCTTTTTGAGGAATTGTTTTTGATACTTTGCTTTTTAAGGAAATCAATTGAATGCTGTAGTTCATGAAATTTCGTATTGTGATCATTTAAGTTTTTTGATGTGATGGATTCAATTCCACTTCTTGAAATGGCCAAAAAGGAATGTTTTGCTCTCTTGACCTAGCTCAAGATTTACCATTTTTTCTTTCAAGAATTGTAAATATAATTTTATGTTGAACTTGAACCATTTGTGCTTGCATATATCTTTTCTCTACACCAGTTCTGTTGTATGGTTTCGGTGCTGCATTTCACAAACTGTACTGGCCTAATGCGTGTCTGTTGTTCTTTATGATTGGGGTTTTATGTGTGGTATATAGATGTAGCAATGAGAAACTCCTAACTATACATGTATTGGTCTTTATGAGTGGGATTTATCATTTTATCGTAAAAATTATGAAATTTAGGTGGGCTTTGTAGAGTGTGGTTTAGAGGATTGCCCTGGTGCATATTCTTTATTCGCATCTATTATCGTCTATTGGATAAAACATTTCAAGTGGTTGAGTTTTGTCTTCTTATGGTGATGCTTTGACATTCTCCTGATCATAGGTCATCCCTTTGTGGTTTTCCTAGTCAAGCTAGTTAACCTATCACTGATACTTCTAACTATTTCTTTCCTTGTGTTTTTTTCTTGATGGTTCACACTTTAAGCAGAAGGGTTATTACTTATTGGTAATGTTTGCATGAGTGAAATCGACGAACACTGGTCATCACCCCTCAAGTTTACCCATGTCATGTTGGCATCTCTTCTTTGGCTCTGTTGCAAACTTTCACTTTTCTGTTAGCCTGGCTCATGTTGTTACCTAACCTAGGGTGTCACATCACAAATTGAAACTTGTCACTACTAATAGAAAATTTGGTTCACACAACTTTCCAAATTATAACTCTTCCATCTGTTAATCAAATTTACTCACTAGATGATTCTCATTCCAGTAATTGTTTCTGCATTCCATTGACTGTCGGTAGAAAATAATGATGGGAATTGTTATTTTTTCATACAAATTTTTTATGCATCATCTGGCAGATATCCTTAGGGATCCATTCCATGACAGGGAACCCCTGTAAGAACCCTTATGAATAAACTTTCTTATACTGATACTTGCGGTAGGGAAGGGGATTGACTACAAGACTTTCATATGAAGATGGTGAATTTTTTTAACATTCTTTCAATATAATATTTGTGGGATAATTTTTTACCATATGACAGGCATCCTGTTGATTGTTGTATCTATCTTAGGGATCAACAGTAATATATCTTTTCCATTTTATAGTTTTTGGAAGCTAGTTGACTAGTCATGATTACTAACGTTGGTGGGACTTTTCATGATGTGTCTAAAATTAATGGACAAAAACATGAGATCTATTGATATAGGCATTGTCATTTTCTTTATAAACTTCATTTGGCATATTTATGCAACATGTATATTTCTTTGTGTAGTTTCATGTACTTGTTACAAAAGTTGACAATTCTATTGATTCCTAAGGTTGGAGTGTGTTTTACTGCAGAGTAGCAGTTGGAAGCACAAGAGGCTTTTTAGATATTATGAAGATAATCCCTCGTCCATATCCATCCATTTGTTAACATGAAAATTTTGCCCCATGATGATTTGAATCATGAGCTATTGGAAAACCATTCAAATAAGCTCTGACTTTGTCAAATCTTTGATGTCTTGTTGGTCATTTATCCAGAGGAACATCCCAGGTCATTGTATTTACTCATTTTTCTCTTTCCTCAGATTTCATCTTATGAGCATGGTTCGTCAAGAACACATTTGGAACAGTCTGATATCCGCATGAGTTTCTATTCATATTTTTGGGTCATAATTCCCTCTTTCATGACAGGTTTTTTGCCAACCTCGAGATTCACTGTCATGCAAGTTGCTTCTGTGATCTCATTTTCTACTCTATCTCCGACTGCATCCTACACAAGCCAACATTACACAAACATTGGAAATCTTAATTTTGATCGTGCCGAGTCATGCAATATTGTGAGCCAAGTCTTTGCACTGATTCAGAAACCTGGATGGAAACATTCTGAATTGTTGAAGACATTGGTTTCTCACTTTCCACCTGAAAATGTTGTTAAGGTTTTGGAGCTTCAAACTTCTCTGGAACATTCGCTTCAGTTTTATCTGTGGGTCTGCAAACAGTCTACATACTGTTACAATTTCCAAAGCAGAATATATCTATTGAAATTATTAATCGCCTCGAATCTATATAAGTTACTAGAAAAGGCTTTACTTGCAACAATCAAAGATTGTGGCCATGAGGAAGAAATGGTGATGCTAATTGATGCCCTTAGGGATATGTCTATGAAGGGTTTTAGTCTAAATTATTCATGTTACAGCTCTCTCTTGATGTCTTTAGCTAAGTTAAGTATGGCCTCAATGGCACAAACGGTTTATCTACAAATGCTAATTGATGGGTTTTTACCAGGTTGTATCATTTATAGAACCATGATAAATGCTCTTTGCAAGAGTGGTCTCGTACAAGCAGCTGAAATGTTCCTTTGTCAAAATCTTAAATTGGGATATGGTTTTGATACTCATATTTATACCTCATTGATACTTGGGAATTGTCGGAGAAACAATCTTGATAATGCTTTTAATTTATTTGAGATGATGTATGGAGATGGTTGCATTCCCAATGCGGTTACTTATTCAATACTCATAAGTGGCCTTTGTGAACAAGGCAGAATGGAAGAAGCTTTCCAGTTGTTTGGAGAAATGACTGAGAAGGGATGTGAGCCTAGTGTTTATACATATACTGTGCTAATCAAGGCCTTGTGCGGCATTCGACAAGTGTACAAGTCTATTGATTTATTCAATGAAATGGTGAAGAAAGGGTGTGTGCCAAATGTCCATACCTATACGGTGTTGATAGATGGGTGGTGTCGTGAAAATAAGCTGGAGGAAGCTAATGGCCTGCTCAAAATGATGTTAGAAAAAGGTGTGCTTCCCAGCACAATCACCTACAATGCTTTAATAAATGGTTACTGCAAAGAAGGTAGGGTTTTTTCTGCTTTTGAGCTTCTCAGTACAATGGAGAAAAGAAAGTGCAAACCTAATACCCGCACATACAATGAGCTTATTGACGGCCTTTGTAGAGAGCGGAAGCCGTATAAAGCAATGTCGCTCCTTCAAAAAATGCTTGACAATGGGCTGTTTCCTAGTAATGTAACTTATAATACATTGATCAATGGCTTTTGTGGAGAAGGCAAGCTTGATATGGCATTGTGTCTCTTTAATTCAATGAGCCGAATTGGTCTTTATCCTGATGGTTTTACCTACACGGTTCTTATTGATGGGCTTTGCAAAAAAGGGCAGTTGGAGCAAGCACATGAATTTTTTAATGAGATGGTACAGGAGGGAATTTGTCTTGATGAAGTAACTTACACCGCCTTGATTGATGGGTATTGTAAGAATGAGATGATGGAAAATGCCTTTGCCCTGCTTGACAAAATGCTTGAATTTGGGTGTGAACCAAATTCTCACACATTCAATTCCCTTATGAATGGGTTTTGCAGGGAAAATATGCTGCCCCAAGAGCATATGTTGTTTGGTAAGATGTTAAAGCGAGGATTAGTTCCCTCAGTTATAACTTATACTATACTAATCAATGGATTTTGTCAAGCTGGTAAATTTAGCCTTTCATTTGAAGTCCTTGATAGAATGATCCAGGAAAACTGCTTTCCAAATGTATATACTTACACTGTGATGGTTGATGGTCTCTGTAAAAGAGGGAGATTTGAAGAGGCCGAGATGCTTCTATATAACTTGTTTGAAATGGGTATTTGTCCAAATCATGTAACATACACTGTATTAGTAAAAGGATATGTTAATGCTGGGAAAGTAGAGCGTGCTTTTGATTTAATGACTATCATGGTGAAGCAAGGCTGTGAACCTAACTACCGGATATATCATGCATTATTGAAGGGGTTGCTTGAGGGAGGCCAGGCCAACAAAGAACTAGTTGTTGGCCCAAATCTAACCAGTGGTATGGACCTTGAGGGGACGAGTGATGATCGTTTTTCTGATCAAATCTTTAGGAAAATGGAAATTGATGTTGCTTTTAGGCTTATAGAGAAGTTGTGTGGGAAGGGTTGTGAGCCTACAAGTGATTTGTACAGAGTGCTGATAACTGGATTCTGCAAAGAAGGAAGAATCGTTGAAGCAGATAGACTAATCAAGGATATGGTGGGAAGGGGCATTGTTCCTCAGAAGGCCATATATGCATCTCTTATTGAAGGGTATTGTGCTGAGTCCAACGTCCAGTCTTGTTATGGTCTTCTAAATGAAATGCTTGACAGTGGTTTCCTACCATCATATTCAACTTATTGTATGGTGGTTTCTGGCCTTCGAAAAGAGGGGAAGATCAAGGAAGCTCAAAAACTGGTCTCTGACCTATTGCAGAAGAATGGAATTACAAGTGATGCTGCTTTTATGCCATTGGTAGATTTCTTATTGAAGGAAGACGATGCTGCATCCTGTTTTGATATTCTAAAACAAATTGAGTACATTAGTCAGAGAGGGTGCTCAGTTATCTAATGTATTTCAAGTGTTGCGACTGTGAATGCTTCAGAAATTCTGCCATGTCACTGGATTAAAAAGGGATGGATACATGTGAGTGTTAACAAAAAATCCATGTCTTGCGTGAGGTGAGAAATATTCTTTAGAGAAAATAAATCTGAATAGTTTGCTTAATATATTTTGGCATTCAATTTTGATTTGGGAATTACGCTTGACTCTGAAATTGGTCTATTTTGTCATGTATCTTGCTACTTGGTAGATGGAAGGGATAGATATGCAAAATGCTCGAAGCTTTGAGGAGCGCCGGATGCATAGCTTGGAGTGAGATGACAGTTATGGTTGCTGCAGCTGAGATATTTCCTTTCAGTTGTCATATTGATGGTTCTTTCATCCTTTATTCTGCCTTACAGTATGTTGTGGGGAGGTCCTCAACTTCCAGCGTCAGTTGAAGTTATTTATACCTTCTAAATGCTTTGGAATGTGCATTTTGTATTTTCTTTATGGTAATTTATGGGCAAAAAGGTACTTATGGTCATCTTATATCTGCTTTCGCAGATTCTTCATATCTGATAGTTATGGGCAAACCTTTTGGGAAGTTGTATTCTCTAAGTGTTGGCTGTGAATCCCATACCTCGGTGATGGCTTCATACCCATAAAGAGTGTTTTGAGAGTTTTGATTCTCTGGCATAATGGGCACTTGCTTGGTGCCTTTGAAATCTTGCTACTTGATTATTCACGCCTTATTGTCAAGCTATTGTTTTGGTTCCAAGAAAAGGTGAGAATATGTTCCATAATTGTACTTATATTAATGTAAAGAAAGCGCACCCATAATCGTCGCCAGTTGCACTCTTCTTTTTATTATTGATCTCAGTAAGCCAGTGTTTAGAAACTTGAAATTCAGTCCCTAGCTTGGTCATAACCAAAAACGTGTCAACATCCGAGGATTTTTCTGTGTTTCAGAAAAACTCAACGTATTTTTCTGTTTTTCAGAAAAACTCAACATATTTTTCAGTTATGATCCCAACAGAGGAATTTAAACTTGAAACCAAGTTTAATGATGGGAAATGTATGTCAAAGTACTCATAATACCTTCTGCTACTAACCCTGGCATATTTAATTTAAAAGGGACAGTATACCATAAGACTATTATCTTTCATACACAATGGTTATACTTCAAACTGTCAGATGTAAATAGGACTGCTGGGATGTTTCCTTCTCGCACAATGTCCAACGAAACTTTCTCAAACTTTTGAGTTTGGTCAATGGTAACCCACAGCCGCCTGGTTTCATATCCAACGGCTAGAGGTGATTGTGACATATTGTATCAAAGGTCAATAGTCTTTGTATACGTTCCTTAGATTAATTACTAAAATCTCACCCAAACCTGAGTATTTCATTGGAAAACTCATTCATGTGCCATACTGAGATGATCCAGCTGAGTCAACCTGGATTGAGCTTTTGATCTGGATTGAGCTTTTGATCACTTACTTGAGCTATACTTAAGGCCTCATTTTATTGTCTTTCATATTTGAAATACATCATTTAAAATTTTCTTTGTTTATCTCCCTTTTATCCGTATCTTTGATTGTTTGTGCTTTATTTCACTGATGATAGAAATGCTTGGGTTTGTAATCATATTTCGGATATGATCTATACATACTTTGTCTAATAGAAGCTGGAAAATGGAATGTTCTTAATAGCTGATCCCTGGATATTGATTTGCAGGTTTTACGCGGTTATTTTGTGAGAGGCTCATGTTTTTGGTCTTTTAGTCAGTACTCTGTTAAATCATCAAAGAAAAACTCTGGAATATCACAATCTTCCGATTCATGCTTCCAGTGAGTAATAGAATCTCGAAACTGTTCTAGTGAGTATTATTGTCAGCATTTCAGTTTGCTGCCTGAAATTTTCAGATCTCGTGTGGCACATTTGTTGATATTGATCTAAATCTTTCGAGTTTCATGTTAATATTGAAATTTTCATTATTAATGTTATAAAAAGATTTAATTTAATCTTGTTGCATTCATACCTTTCATATTTAAATGTCTGCTACTTAGAAATATCAAAGGTACTTATATATCATGATGAACTTACATACACTGTCATACATATTTAGGTACTTCTATAATATTAATGTTATAGACACAAGGAGTGATGGTATAATCAACTAAGAAATAGGGTTTATTATTATCATTTGTGTAATATAAGGGATTTGGGCTATTGTTGCTTCAGTAACAGAACTGCTTTTTTAAATTTATTTAATTTTTAGTATTGCTTTTTTTATTGGATGACAATACCAATATTTTTGTCATTCCGTTTTATTTGGTGAGAGGACTTACAAACAACAAATAAAAATAATCTTTCTGTGTGTGTGTGCGGTTTTTTTTTTTTGGGAGGGGGGTTATACCCACCTGTCTAATTTACATTTTATTTTATTTTTCGTCATATTAAATTAAAAGTTTCATGTCACAAGATTCTTCGTCCTTTCTTTGCCTTATTGTATTGGACTTTTTAGGCTTAATTTTTATGCAGCCAATGAACCCTCCATTAATCATCAGTATATGCTCAGTTTCTTTCTTGTGAAATGGTAAATGATTGAACTACTCCGTCACTTGGTGTGACAGTTAAGGGGGGAACGCCCCCCCCCCCCCCCACTTCCCCCGGGGCGTTGCATGCATGCATGTGGTTGTGTTTGTTTACTTTGTGTGCTATTGCAAGCACTGTGGAAGTGGCTTTCTCCAGCTATAGTTATGCCCACCCATATTAAATTAAAAGTTTCATGTCACAATATTCTTTGTCCTTTCTTTGCCTTTACTTTATTGTATTGGACTTTTTAGACTTAGTTTTTATGCAGCCAATGAACCCTCCATTAATCATCAGTTCATGCTCAGTTTCTTTCTTGATCCTTAATCCAATGCTTTCTTGTGAAATGATAAATGAGTGAACTACTCGATCACTTGGTGTGACGGTAAAGGCTTGGGTTGCCAGTGCAAGAGCGTGAGTTCGAGTCTTGAGAGCGGCCACTTTGTGCATAAAAAACCAAAGGTTAGGACTGTTTACTGCTCATCCTCTCGGGACCCTGTGTAGGCGGGATGCACACACACATCCGTGGGTGTATATCTGGATGGATTGATATAATGCTTCTCTCATAACCATGAGCATTCTTACTCCACAAGTGTTTCTCATTGAGTGGCACTGATGGTATGCAGGGCCCACGACGTACTTATGAAGAAACACAACATTAGGGAAGGAAAAGTACTACTTGATATATTATGCATACAATGTTAGAAGATGTGCTACTGTAAACTGAGGTATCTTAATGACTCCCTCAAGGGTTCACATGCTGTTGACAATCACGATGTAATGTAGATATAAGAATGTGAAGATAGGATTAATATTTACTGCTGATGTGGGAGATAGATCTTTCAGGGTATTTGCCTTGTTGTGTTTACTGGATTATAGATACAAGGAGGTGATGGTACAATCAACTGGGAAATAGGGTCTGTTATTATCATTTGTGTAATGTAATGGATTTGGGCTATTGTCGTTTCAGTAACAGAACTGCTTTTCTTTAAATTTGTTTAATTTTTAGTATTGTTTTGTTTATTGGATGGCAATAACAATATTTTTGTCATTCTGTTTTATTTGGCAAGAGGACTTACAAACAACAAATAATTTTTCTGTGTGTGTACGTGTGTAGTTTTTTTTGTTATTGTTTTTGTTTTTTGGGTTCCTACGGGGGTATCACAAGATTTTTCGTCCTTTGCCTTTTATTGTATTGGACTTTTTAGGCTTAGTTTTTATGCATCCAATGAACCCTCCATTAATCATCAATACATGCTTAGTTTCTTTCTTCACTTTAATCCAACTCTTGCTGTGAATTGATAAACGGGTGAACCTCTCTCTCTATCTCTCTCTCTACATACATGTATGCACACACGCACATCTGTGGGTGTGTATCTGTATGGATTGATATAATGTTTCTCTCATAACCAAGAGCATTCTTGCTCCACAAGTGTTTCTCATTGAGTAGCACTGATGGCATGCAGTGCCCACAATGTACTTATAAAGAAACACAATATTAGGTTAAAAAAAGTAATTTTTTTGGCACAGTTACATAGGATTGGCACTTGAGATGTAGTGCTATGAAAACCCAGCTGCTACCGCCTTGACCCTACTTAAATGTTATTTATACAATGTTAGAAGATGTGTTACTGTAAACTGAGGTATGTTAACTACTCCCTCAAGAGTTGGCATGCTGTGATTGCCGTAATGTAACCATCTGTTGCTGTTGGATGAAATAAGAAGTGTTTAGGAAATCGTAGTAAACAATAGTAAAAAATGTGGTACCAATGCGAGACTTTCATGTACATAGGCAAGTATGTAAAGGCATTGTGAATGAGTTGTAAGCTTAAGAGGATGACGGTGGAGGAGCTTCCCATGTCAGAATATAGATTGAATAATTCTTTGATTGTATCATGTATGATATTGTGCTTCATTTCAGTTAGCATGCTTCTACTTTGTTCTTGACTTTTTAGATCCATCAGCCACCAAATCTAAATCTATCTGCAACTTTTCAAGTTCCCAACTCTATTGGTATGTAAGCGTCCTGTATTTGAGTCTTGGTATGGTTTATTGTCAACAATATTGGAAAAAGCTTCTCAGCTTCTTTAAAAAACTTGGCTTTTTCAGCAAAGTATGACTTGCATCTCCTATAGTCTCTAGAAAAGTATGTCATGCACGATTGAAGGAGTGAAACATAACGAACCATTGTGCGCTTGAATTTCTTGAATGGGATGATGTAGCAGATTGATTAAAGTAGGTGAGAAGTTTCTGTTCTTGTTTAGTGGTAAGTTGAATTAATAAAATCCTTAGTACAATGCATGACGGCATGTTGATGAGAGAGAACAGACTTAGTATGGGGTGCTTCACTTTACTATGTCCTTGTGGTTATTTGCCCATCGTAATTGGCACTTTTTACTATGTACTTGTTCAAACCTATGTTTTTCCAATAACTTTCCCTTACCTCTGTGGTGCATAATTTGCATGCTAGATTCTTCTTTCTAGAAGTGGTAAGTCAGTGGGGATTTGGGTCCCTACCTTTTGGTGAGAATAGAGTCAGAGACCTCACCATGGGGTTCAACAATACTATCGCAAAGGCGCCAGGCCAGGCTATGGTCGTGGTGGTAGCACATCCTACACTCTAGTCACCATATTGTGGTTTCCATTCCCACTACTAACACATTCAAAAAGCTACCTCCAATCTACTTGAAAAAATGGGTAGGGGCCAACCTTCCTCGTTGAATTACTCAAAAAAAAAATAGATTTTTCTTTCTAATGTTCATATAACATGTGCTAATCATGTTGAGAAATGACTTGAAAGACCTGTTTTGTTACCTTCTTTAATTATCAAGATGGTTCTGGTCCCCCAATCTATTTCTCACTCTAGAAAATGCATTGGTTGCACAACCCATAGTCCAAATCTTATAATAATGATCACATTAATGTATATCATAAAACAATTAAAAAGTGAATATCAATATCATCATCATCATAGTTTTTTTTAATTAATTGGGATTGACTACACATCTTGGTCCGTCATTTTACTTTATTAAATGGCATACACTCAGTGAGGCTATAAGGTCCCATGTCTTTTCGGAGTACTTCCAACCATGTCTTTTTTTGTTTACCGATTGCTCTTTTCAGCTCTTCTACTTGAACTAACTCATACCTCTTAACAAGTGTTGTACTTGGTTGGTGCCACCCATGGCCAACTCACATAAGTTTACACTCTCTCGTCTTATCGCCTATATACTACACCTAAATTTTTCCAAATGGATTCATTTTGTATTCTATCCTTCTTATCTTGTCATTCATCCATTTCAACATCCTCATCTCCGTTACATTCATTCTATAGGTATAATTGTTTTTTATTCATTAACATTCCGTCCTATAGAGTAAAGCTGGTTTCAGAGCTATTTTATAGAATTTGCTTTTCATTTACATTGGTGTGTGGGATCACATAAAATTCCCGTTCTACATTTTCTCTTCGTCCACCCAACTCTAATTTTATGTGTCACATTTTCTTCAATCTCTCAATTTTTTTGGATTATCGACCCAAGATATTGAAAGCACGGTCTTTTTTGGATATCAACATACATCGAAAAAAAATACAAGTAAACAATGAGACATAGGGCTCAAAAATTGCCCACATTAAGTGGTACTGCAGGTGATGGCTACCCTAGCAAAAATGTTAAAGAACAAGTCTGCATAAAGGGCAAGAGCCATGCCTAATGAGCCATTAATCAATACAACCCATGTGAAACATATTCCAAAATTGGGCAACCTTCTTGCCGGTTTCCAAACTAGATGGTCGTGAAAGAAAAAAAAAGATGTTTAGGCAGGTAGCCGAAATGTATGAGAGAGAGAGAGTCTTTCCTTCATTATTTCATCGAGGAAAGAGATTAAAATCTCCCTCTTCAAACTAGAGATTCATGTTCCATTCTCTAGTTTCCTAGCGGTCTGAATACTTTGCAGTGGCCATGCGATGTCAGGTCACTTCATCTAACTTGCACATGGAATGCATGAGTGAGAGGTTCAAGTTCTTTGCTTCTCCAATACTTTTGAACTTATGACAAGCTCAGTCTGGCTGCAAATATGTACCTTAGTGCCAACTATCAATCTCACCTGCACATGTTTGTAGGGAAGCCAATGTGGTGGTTCACTAGGTATGGCAGGAGTCGATTTCTAACGGTGTTTTGTAATATGTTTTTACTTTTTCAATCTCTTTGTAAACATTGTATATCTATAAAAAAGTAACTCAGTTTTCCTTTTAATCACTTCACAATTTAGTTGGGCATACAAAACAAATACTTAAAATAAATAAGTTTGAGAGAGTTGATTTCATGAATGCAAGTCTGCCCCCTAAATAAAGGAATCTAGACTTCCATAAATCAAATTTCTTCTAAAAATTTTCCACAATAGGGTCCCAAGTAAGATTTAGGAGGATGATTTGCCATTAAAAATAAGCTCAGGATTTGTGTCACTATCAAAGATTTGTACCCCTCTGTTTTGAACAGCCAATCCCAATAAGCTTGATTGTTCCAAGATTGACTTTTAAGGCATGGAGGAAGTTCCATGTATACAAGGCAGATTCAAATATTTTTCTTCATTTAATTCATATTGTTAAAAATAATTGTATCATCTACGTGTTACATATGAGAAATAACCAAATTGCCATTACCAGTAACACCAAATAAAAATCCTTAATTTACCACAGATTTAAGCATAACATTTAAGGTTTCAGTTATACATAAAAGAAGAAAGTTGATGTCATTGCCTGATTCCTTTAGAAGCTTTGAAAAATCAAAGGCCTTATCATGGATGTGTTGGGTTTATGTGGCCTTTAAATGCCTTATGAGTGCTTGTAAAATGAAATGATATAGTGGAACATTAACTCAGCGGGAGTGTGGTCTCTCGTGGACCATACTAAACAAATGATGGTTTACTGATACCGATCTGTGCTTAACGATCTAGGCCAGTCGGTTAGGGAAAACCCATGTTACCAGGGCATAAAGAACAAACTGATGAGGGTTTATGGGTTAGCCTTTGATGAGGTCGGAGACATGCCCAG